GGCCAGCACCTGAGTCTGGAGGGGGAGGAAACCACATGTTATGTGTGAGTTGAAGATGGAAATGGGGTCGAAAAGTTTGCTTTGGGTAAGAAGGTACGGGATGTCTGAAAGCTGAAATATAAAGTCAAGCAGAGAGTGTGTTGGTTTACTAACTGGGATTAAAAATAGCTCTGCAGCTCAGTGAACGGTGCCCTGAAACAAGAGCTAAATCACAGAGGCAGTGTTTGTGAAATCTCACAAGAGAAGATATCCTCCCTACACCAAAACAAGCTTTATTTGCCTTTTTTCATAAATGCGTCTCCCTGACATAATCGTAATTATGTCTTATCTGCCTTTGACTGTACATAAACAAAAGTGTACAGAGCTAGTGGCTCAGTCAGTAGGGGCTTGGACTGGGAGCCGTAGGGTCGCCGGTTCAAGTCCCCGACCAGACCTAAATATGGAGTGTGGACTGCTACTTGGAGAAGTCCCAGTTCACCTCCTGCCCTGCCGTGGTGCCCTTGAGCAAGGCACCGGACACCCCCATTGCTCCCCGGGCGCTGTACAATAGCTGCCCACTTCTCCTAGTACTAGACTCCTGGTACTAGGATGGGTTAAATGCAGTGGCCAAATGTCACTGTGTGCTCTGCATGTGTGACCATTAAAGAGGGGTTTCATCCCTCCCATTCTTCTTCTTCTGTTTTATGGGCACGGCGGTGCTTTGAGCTACATCCGTTTGCTAACATGCTCAAAATGACAAAGCTACCATGCTAATGGTAGAGCAAGTATTGGTATAGTTTAAAATTGTCGATTAGTACTCAACAATACAACCTGCATCTAAGGCCAACAAGGATGTCATACAGTTTGCAGATATTTGGTCAAATTTGAAAATATTGCCCGAAAGATAGCGTTAGATGAAAGTGTTAAGTGTTTACAAAAGTGATTGCAATTCATCCTAAGTGCCTAAAGGAAGTTTTAGGGCAATCCATCCAACAGTTGTCAAGACATTTCCCTAAAAAACTAAATTATCCTGTCGACCATAATTCATGCAACTTGTACAAAAGTTCCAGCCTGGACCAACATGGTCACCACAGAGCTATGTGTAGCTAAAGAGCCAGTCTGCAGCAACTACAGTGCACAGTTTAATTAAAGACTAACTCATACAGTCACAGATAAATATGTTGTACCAAGATCAATTTGAAGGTGTACAGATTGTAAAGAATAATGGATTTTAGTGTTACACCCCACACAGTAAATAATGAAAGAGTCTCTTGTTCAGGTCAAAAGTGAGGTTTGTGTGTACTCTACTGACTTCAGTACCCTAGTGTATAGTAGGCCTACAAGCTCCATGGACATTTTAAAAAGAGATCACTGGAGCAATGCACTTTGTAATGCTTGCTGGATATTTCCAGGCATTGCTTTTACATGCTGTATAATCTGGATTTGCTCAGTGACAGCACATGCAATGTTAGCAGAAAAGTCACTGTGGATCAGGGGAAAACATATCTAGTGTATTACAGTATGTATCATGGCTACCAGCTGGCCCGGGCTGACCCACAGGGAGTGTTATTTGTTGTCAAAGACAGCATCATGAGGCTTTAACAGCCTTGGGCTAAGCTGCTTTCCAGCCATGTATGAAGAATGGCATCAGGCTATCAGCTGAGTCCCCTTAGATCAGGGGTTCTCAAAGTGCGGCCCGCGGGCCAATGGCGGCCCTCGGAAATGTTTCTGGCGGCCCGCGATGTGACACGCTGAAATGCATGCGTTATATTTTAATCCTCCATGGTTCGTATCTAGTAAGAATTATAATGGAATTTAAGAATGGTAAAACTGCGCCCCCTGGGTTGTCATTCCTAAATTATGAATGACAGCTTGTGGAAAGTTTGCTAGACTACTGGTTGCATGGCAACTAGGCATCTCGCGAGTTGCGGTTAAGCGGAAAATCTGTTGTAAGTTATCATAATCAGAAACGGGAGTTAGCTAGCGATTTTAGCTAGTCACTGTCTGTAGATAACCCAACTTTGTGTCCTCTGCAAGTTCTTAATGTATACTGTATGTATAATTGGTTAGTAAAATAAAGAAAGGATTTGTTTTGGAATTATTTTGTGTTCCGTTTTTTCTTGGGCGGCCCTCAATCCAATATTGGGTACCTAAATTGGCCCTCACTCATCAAAACTTTGAGAACCCCTGCCTTAGATACTAAAACTAAATGTTCATAGCTGAGCCTTTACCAGCACAGGACCTGTTTATCTAATGTACTGGATCAGAAAGTGGGTTAACAGAAACACTGCAGGACAATGTGAAAAGCTCAGTGTGGATTAATACTGCCATCTTGTGGTCAAGGAGGAGATGTAAATTGAGGACGTAAATAACCAGCATAACAATTTAATTGAAAGCTACATCAGACAGTAAGTAAATGATTTGGAGATAATACGAATCTTATATATTCACTTAAAATAATAAATTGAATGCAGGACTATTACAGTGTATTTATGGGCCGTTATTATTTGTTTTGTCTCGGAAAGTAAGGCTGACAGTTATCAAAGAGTATTTTAAGTGTCAAGAGAGAAATCCGCATATAGATCAAAAACGGTCACAAAGCTCGTACACTAAAGCAATTATAACCATACACTTTCCTTTGATAACCAGTAAGCCTTACTAGCGAGACACTGTTAGTAGTTTTATAATAATACCTGACGTATGTGGCGGAAACTTGGGTCGGTAAAAGTTAGTACGAGTTCATAGAACGGAGAAAAACAGTATAACAAAAACTCACCCAAGTGATGGCTAACTGTTAACTCACGTGCATGTGTACGCTCTGCTTCCTTTAGGATATCTCCTCATTCTCGTTGACTCCAGGGTCAAGAAAAAAAAAGTTCGTTTATATTCTTATATATCTAGCATCCATGATGTGTTAATTGTTTGCATGTAACGTTAGTTTATCTAGCATACAGCGGCAACATAGTGAATTGCTGTCAACAAGGCCTGCAGCAGACGACATGTCGGACGCATGGCGGCTTGTTTGTCAAAGCGTATTCATATTAAACGTGAAACAAACTACACGCCATTTGCTCCGCAGCAGGAATACATGCGCCAGGTGTAAAGTAGATCGCATTGATGATGAGATGAGATTTCTTGCTTTACAGTTAGCTTAGATAAGTTAAAACGTTTAAATGTAACTGAAAATGTGCATTTGGATGTTGACAGGTTACCATAAACAATACAGCATACCCTATAAAATAAAGTAAATAGGCTGAATTTTTATTATAAAACTGTTCTGAATCTACAGCCACCACTCAAATCAATAACATGCCTAACATTAAATAGGTCAAGCTCCTTACTTTTGATTATCATTTTATCACACACCCAAACTAAATAGATCCAATAAATAACTAAGAAATCCACACTTTGCTCAAACTACACTGTGTTTGTTATGGTGTGTCTTCTCCAGGCTGTCTTCTAACATGATCAAAGTAGCTTTAAAGTGCAAGTTGTTTATGTTGGGAATGACTGACTCCGCGAGTGTATGCCATATTAATTTTTCATCAATAGGGAAGTTTCACATATATTTCCCCAAAGCAAGTGGTTGAAGCTCCCTTTTATGCAATTCATCAGTGTTTCATCAGCATCAGTTTGGCCTGAAACGGGTCTGTTACTGGTTCACCATTAAAACCATCAAAGTAATATATTAAATGTATGAATATCATATAGGCTGCAGTCGGCACATGAAACCAAACGATGTTATTGTATCTATTGTTGATGTATTTATCCCATCTTTCTCTTCATTTTGATTTTTAAAAGTAATGACATTTAGTGTTGTTTCTCAAGCAACTATGTGTTTATAACGTGTTTCAATTTGGCAAAACAAGTCTTTGGTCGTTATGGCTTATTAAAAAAAGTAACAGCAGTAGCAACAACTTATTATCTTTTGTACTATACGTGTTTTACAGTTATATTTCATTGAGTGTAGGAGATTTGTGACTTATAGACGGATTTGTCTCTCGACACTTACTCATCATCTTTGATAGTTAGTCAGCCTCCTAGTTAGTGTCATACTTACCGTTTTATCTTCAAATGCAGCCGGACTATCGTATTGGTTTTGGTTGTACACCATTGTTCAGACTACAGTTATTTTTCAAAGTTCCTATGAACACTTATCATCGCTGCCTATCAGAAAAAATGTTTTTTTGAACTAAATTCTCTGTTGTGACGTTTTTTCCCAGAATGCTCTGCGGGACGGGATTTGTTGTACATTTGACCATTTCAAGCTTATCTACACAAATATGTATGTTGTATTGGCATGGATATGTACTCATAATTTATATTCGTTGTGGACCGTCGTTTTAATAATTCTCCACCGTGTCTGAGAGACACATATCTAAGCTGCTCCATAAGTACACTCGCTACGTCGCTTCTAATTTCTCGGTTGGTCCGACGGCGGTGAGATTTCAATTGATTACTACAGTGAGTTATAGAACCTCTACGTTCCTTCTCTCCCCTGCGCCACCGCCGGCATTGACTAGCCTTTTGACTGTTTTAGCTTCGAGTTTTAATAACATATGTATAGCACATCCTTACAGAGAGCACTAGTAACAATGTTGAGCAGTACAGCATTTGTCTCAGGTAAAAGTTAAACTACATGGTTTTCAAATGTACTCAGATTAGAGTAAAAAAAAACAGTTTACACAATCGCCAGTAGCATGGTATTAGAAACAGTTTACACAATCGCCAGTAGCACGGTATTAGGCCATATGACAGTTTATGAGTGCAACATATAAGTAGTGTTAAGTGTTGCAATGTAGCATAATTGGTATCAAACAGCAGACATCTATAAAATAATGTCAGATTTTCTTTAAAGACTACCCGAAACTGAAGAATAGCAGCTGTTGACAGAATAAACACAACATCCTGTGACCTGATGAACACTTTCAGCATTTGTAATGGATATATTTAGACATGAAACATTATTCTTATCTTGCAAGGTAAAGAATGTATGAAATGAATCCGACACATCACATGAGGAAAGTTATGATGTTTATTAGAAATAACAACCGGATTGGAATCATACAAAAGCAGGACTGAATGCTTGGCTGAATGACTGTTTAAAACTCCAGATCTATGTGATTGACAGGGTGACCCAACACACACACACCCCCATCAAACCCCTTTTCTTTCCCCAAAGATTACCAACTTAATCCCCAAGCCAATAAACAAATGGATGCAGACAAATAATAAACCTAAATCTATGCATGTAGCTGTGTAATATGTGTGTCCATCATATTTTACATCAGTCCAAGTTTGTATTCCACCATCATGTGTGGCTCGCCCATCATTTCACTCTGGGTTGGATCTGCAGGGGAACAGAATGCAAACACAGGTTAAATATATTATTCAGAAAGTTGAGTGAATTGCTGTGTAAAGATGAAGGGCTGAGGTTCTCACCGTTGAGGATGTCCTCAAAGCCAATGGACTCATCATTTCCTCGCAGCGTATCTAGAGCCAGGTTTGAACTCTGTAAGAACGGCAGACGCTGGATCTGGAAGGGGGGGGGAAATCAGACAACAAGAGTTATGGAGGGAGAAGACTTAAAAGAAAAAGCAATGTACAGGGACAGGCGAAAGAAAGAAAATTGACAGTCAGGATTTGGGAGTATGCTGTGTGTGTGTTACCTGTCTAGCGGCTCTGTACTCCATCTGTAGTTTAAGTGGAGCATGCAGACCCTGGATGTTTCTGAGAGAAGAGAAGTTCATCTTGTCCTGGTTCAGCATGAACTGCACACCACAGAAAGACAAACCTCTTCAGTACTTTGGGACAACAAGGACATTTTCACACATTTCACACTTGTTCTGACTTACTGCTACTGATTTGGCTGTAACAAGACATTCTAACTCAAAACAGTTTTGTAGTTAAAACACCAGAAAGAAAATATACTGTGCCGAGTTTTCTAAAGATTACTCACATTTTTCTCGGACAGCTCCAGCGGGTGACTTGGAAGGAGCTCATTCTTTACGCTGGTAAATCTGTGTAGCAACAAAAAGAAACGTGACCAGGTGGAATACAGTATCATGTAAATGTACTGTGGTTTAAAGAGGTGCTGCTATTATAAACTTTGACCAAAAAAGAAAGGTTAGTTCAACATCCTCTTACAAGGGAAAGTAGTCAGACACATAACTGTGTGATGGCAGGATGTAATGGATAATAACAGGTACAAACGACCCAATATTGATTATGTTATAGTTGCGACTAGCAATTTCATAAATGGACAATATTATTGTGTTAATTATAATATTCGGATAAGCGGTAGAAGATGGATGGACAATAATATTTACAACAAAACAAATTGAAATGGGAAATCGTGTTTGGACAACTATCCATGTCAATTAAGTGGAAAACATACAACTAAAACCGGCATTTTTTAACAGTCGCACTGTTTGTGCAAACAATGTAGAATACGGTTAATATATATAGCATTAGATTACACAACAGTAATATTATTTGTTGCCATGTCTCACCCACTACGCAGAGAGTCCTGCACACCATAAGCTCCCTGTGGACACAAGCCTGCCACAGGTACGCTGTCTTTCAGCTGAGAGCGGAGTCCTCGTGTATTCTGTAACAATAAAATATTCACATTCACAACTAATATCTAATAAGAATAACTAAGTTCCAAAAAACAAAAGCTAACATCATCCTTAGCTAAGTTAGGGAGCCTCGTAGTTAGCTAAGAGCTAACTAGCATTAGCTCGAGTGACTAATCAAATTCACAACGTAAATGGGCTTCAGAGGATTCAAAGACAGAAACAAAGATGTGGGCAGGTGGAATAAATACGCGCATAAATATAGAAAACAATTACATTACAGTAAATATGCTAACGATAGAATAAGTCATATTACATGAGATAACACTATAGCCATACCATTGTGATTCCGTTTCTTCCACTTTCTGTTGGACACACTTGAATATCCGGTTGAGTCCCGTTTACATTACGACACATCCGGTTCAAGACGATCCTGTGTACCTTTCACTTGTAAAAATGCCCCGTTGTCTGTTAAATTTGCGCACAGTATGCGTAGTAGGTTTTATTTTAATATTTGTGTAATGTTTGACAGGTCTACCATATCTAAATACTACAATAAACGTCAACATCTTGCATGGATATCTTTATAAACATTCCATGAGAGGTTATAGACGTATGGGGGTATAGCTCAGTGGTAGAGCATTTGACTGCAGATCAAGAGGTCCCCGGTTCAAATCCGGATGCCCCCTCTTTTGCAGCGTTTGAGTTTATATTTCAAATCAATTGAAAGAGAAAAGTAGACAGACACTAACATCAGTGCAATCGATCCATCACATGCTTTTAATTTTAAACATTTCCTCTTCATACACTCCTAACACTCATAGCTGGGTCTCAGAGTAATTGACCAGTGCTCGTCACTTGATGATACTTGATGACATCTAGTAAATATCATGTTATTAGAAAAAACAAAAATAAATACAATAAAATGTCTACAGGCGCCACAAGGAGGGATCACCCTTTCCTCGAAAATACTTTTTGATAAATTATCTAAGAGTGTCTCTCTTAGCAACTAATTTGACTTACATGCCAATTATTGAAGCCATCTTTGTGAATTTGAACAGTACACCATGTTTTCCTTTTTGAAGACTCATTTTACATACATGGAAAGTCAGGGACACATACTGATCCTTTACTCAAAGTTATATATTTGGCGAACAGGCAACATCCAAATGAGACCCTAGAGTCCAGTGATTATCAGAGACATGAATGAATTCTGTGGATGCAGCCAGATGTCTCGAGCTAATATCAGTTTGATCCTTTTCAATGACACAGAGATTCAATAATAGATTGTTGATTGCGGGTAACAGGAGTTCATCTCATTAAAACCCTTTTAATGACTAATAATTATTTGAATATAATCACTTAACCGCTGTAATAGCACAAATCAACATAAACTCATCACATTGATCATATTTTTCTAAAGTGATTATTGCATCGATAATAACTTGATTGCATGAATAATATGTCTCTCGGAAATTATAATTACACTGGTTTGTGTCCTTTCTTTTAGATACAGTAGTGTTGCTCCTGATATGGAGATTATTTTAGAACATGTTTAAATGTGTATAGTTAAATCATCACATAAGCACTGTGATGGTTTTAACATAAATTACTTTATTCTGTATAATCTAACCGTCTTCAGCAGCCACAGCAGCAAGCTCGTGTTGATCTAACCTGGGTGGATATGAATATGAATCTGTAAGACGAACAGGAGGGCAAGAGAAAAATAAATAAAAGGGAGAAGAAGGGAAGAAAAACAGATCAATGGCAAACTGTAGGAAACAAAGCCATGTTCATCAATAGGTTTTCTATTACAGTATGTGAGATTTACACTATAAATTAAGCATTGGTAGTCCTTACTTAACTTTAACAGCAGATGGCGGTACAGCATACCATAACATGATTTCCAATGTGACAAAGATTATATTCCCCTTTACCCCCTTTAGTTTACCTCTTCGGCTTTGCAATTCCTGGATTCCTGAACTCGCTTGCTACATTTGTTTTTATTGTTCAAAGACAGCTTAATAATTCTGTTAGACAAAACTTCAGACTACTACAGATACACAAAAAAAACATATTTACCTTTGCTTGGCTCAGAGGAGTCACTGCAGGCCAAACCTCTCCAATCCTGCATGTACCTGCACAGGCAAGAATATATATATATTATTTTAACAAATAATGAAATAATTTCAAATGACAAGCAGTCTTTCCAACCGAGAGCATCAGAATGTCACAAACGTTTGCCGTTTACTACATTTGTTGACAGTGGAGCAGAGGATCTTACTCCTCAAAGTTGAGAGTGTTGGTCCAGGCCAGAAGCTCATCCAGCTCCCACTCCAGTATCTCAGCATTTCCCTTCTCCTTAATGGTTCCCATCACTTCCTGTGCTGAATTCTCCACCAGTATCGCCATGTGTCGATGCACCGGGTGAGTCTGCAGACGACCCTGGTTATACCTGTATGTAAGTCAAAAGGACATACATGTAATCACACCTTCGAGTTGTATTCCCTAATGTTTTTTATTAGACTCTCACATCTTTAAATATATCACAACATTTGTTTTTTGTTAATGAAAGGGTTTTCAAAAGTCAATAGCAATCTGTCTTTAAGTAAAACTGATGTTCAGCTTTGTGACTGGAATTTGGTAATAATACACAATCGAGGCTAGCCTTAACAGTTATCCTGTCATGACAAATTGAGGTCAGAGGGGCTGTTGCACAAACCAAATGCCTTGCTTTCGAAAAATACATAAAACTCACATGTGCTTCAGCCATTCTATTTTCCTCTTCTTCCGCCACATGTCTATATCCTGTTGCCGCTGCAACCTGGAATGGTGAAAGTCCATTTCCTTGTTAGCGCCGATCTCTTCGGGCTCACTCATGGACGCCACCTATCAGATAGGAAAGGAAACATAAAAACACTGACATCAGCTTTTAGTGGTTAACAGTTGATCTCAAATCTGACCATGTGTTTGGTTAAGTAAATGTACAAAACAGGTGGTTCTCCTTTCAAATTGTTCTAAAGGAAATGTCCATCAAACTACCCTGGCACGATCCAGGCTTGTTTAGTTTTTTCATGACTGTTAGCCACAAAGTGAAAATATCACCTCTCATCTCAGTGTTTCCCCTAGGATGGAGTCATAGCAGCGGTGCTTGGGTCCGGCAAAATGTGAGCACGGAGCGCGTGGAATTTTTCAGTGTGTGTGCGCCCAGCCAATATGTTTCTACAGTATGTGTCTGCCAGCACAAGAAAGGCTCTTGAGGCTCTACAGGTGTATTTTGCTAAATCACCTTTATTGAACATATAGTAACACAAATACTACACATCCACATAACAAACAATCAAAATAAAATGTATGCAATTTAATTATTTGGGGAGGTGAGGTGGAAGATTTTTTTTTTTAAATGTTGAAGTTAAATGCATCAATCTGGTGCACTTTGAGCACAACATGAATGTATGGATACAGCTCTCAACACTCATATGAAAGGGAGCTGTATTCTTTTCAATAATCCAAAAATCTTTAGAATATGATCAAAACCAATAACAAATCATTTAAACTTGTTTATTCTTATCTTATGTTACCTAGTTAGTATTCTTTCTTTTTATTTATGCATATTTTACTAATCACTCCCCTTTTAAACTTTTTTTTTTTACTGTCCTATAGTACACATTGGAATGATTTCTTACTTTATTTTTTACAACTATATTAAATAGATAAAGGTGTGCTCTCTCTAGCTCTCTCGCTCTCTCTCTTGCTCACAGAGGCTGTGTGCTCCTCCGTGGCGATGACGCGAGCGCCACGTGTTATTATTTTAATGTATAAAACAAAAAAGATTAAAATATTTTTTTTTTTTTGTGGTACCTGGCTGGCGCCCCGTAGCAGCGTTACGGTGCTGCTGAATGTATACAGGGGAAACACTGCATCTGTAGTGCATACTTTTCTTTACAGATAAATAACAGGCAGAACTGATAACTTTCTCTGACACGCTCTTCACCTTGTTACAGAAGAGCCTCCAGCTGTTGTTCTCCAATCGCCGGTACCATCCTGATCGGTCCTCCTGCTTAAGAGGCTGGCCTTGTTTATTCTGTTGAGCCACAGGCTTCTTCAGGTCTGGCTGGGTGTAGTCCTTCGGGCTGCTGGCACACATATCAGTAATGGGTCGATGGGTGTAGATCTTGTAATATATGTTGGGTGGAAAGGTCATCTTGAGGAAAAAGGATTAGCAAAATGTAATCAGATATGTCTAATTAGCACATTTACTTAGCTGTTAGGGGATTTAGCGCTTATTCATTATGTTGCTCCTACCCCTCCAAGTCGAAATCTGATGAACACGCCAGCGGCAGCATCCAGCAACTCTGCCTGCCACAGGAAAATTAAATCTCACTATTTATTGTATTTCTTCTTTTCATTTTATAGGGAGTATCATTTCTGTTACCTCTCGAGGATTGACAGATTTTAGGATCTTCTTGGGATCGCGCTGGTTGCACTCATTGATAAGACATTTGACATACTTGAACACCTCTATGCACTACAGTTTGGAAAAGAGAAACAGTTTAAGTTAATGTCTGTTGACTTTTATGTTTGCATGTACTACAGTGTGTACGCCCACCACATGTCTTCTCCAGGCCTTCTGGATTACTGTGGCTGCTACCTGCTGCAGGGTCTCCTGTCGAGGCTCCTGGGGACCCTTGTCCTGAGAGCTGGAGGCATATTGAGAAATGTAAAGAGAGAAAAGGATGAGAAGATGGGTAGAGGTCAGGTGCAACAAAATGAAACTATGAATAATATTTCTTGTAAGGTGCCCTGTTTTTATTCAAGTATTATATGCAAGCACAGTCCGAATCATTATCTGCTTCTTTACACTTTGGCTTAACTTAGGGAAATAGTATACCTCTTGTTCTACAACCTGTATTAACAATTAGTTTGTCATTATTTCACAGACAAATATTTTACATACAAAAAATTGATATATAATGTAATGTAATACAACTGTTGTAGCCCTATTTTAACGTTGTTTCTGATTTTGAAAGCAGAACATTTGATATATAAATAAATATGTGTTGTGTGATACATAATTACATGAATTATTTAAACATGTCAAAGAGTATCCTATGCTACCATTTAAAAACAAAACAAAACACAGGCTACACATCGTGTTTCATGATACATTATTTGATAATGCCAGATTTAACAGCGTGAATAAAACGTTGTTAATTAGCATTCACGCTCAATATATACAAAAAGCATATTCTTACCTCATAACTTCCTCTGTACTTACATGAATGTCTAAAGTTAAAAAGCTAACTAGCTAGTTTAAGCTAAATGCTAACGCGAGTTGAGAGATAATTTCATTAGGCTACCTAGCAACAAGTGGCTAAAGCTGCCGGAACTACTTTCAAAACAAAAGGGTTAGTTGACGGTCAAGTTGATATAATACTGCAGCAGCCACATTTTCGGGTAAAACTATCAAAATACAAAAACGTAGGTCACTTTGTGATATCAATAAAAATGCTGCCTGAAACGACCAAAATGTATGCTTTTATTTTGAAGACAGAATCCCATGCCATATGTGCAGTGTTCTGGCAAAATAAAGACTGGTGCTTCATATTTTCAGTTGATTAAATGTTATAGGGCCAGTCACCAACTTGTCACCAATGAACATGCTGCAGCTGAACGCAATGAATCAAATACAAATCCAGTTACATCCAAAAATAAACTTTCAATTTCAGCGCCCTCAGTCAGCTGTGGCAGTTTCACACTACATTTAAATCAAAAGAAGAAGAAAAACCAGTGTGAAGCTCTCTGTATTTATGAGCGGCTGGATATGTAAATATACATTTGTGTTGCTCACAGAGATAACCTATCTGATATGTGTGCTTCCCAAACTAATTGTGCTCATAATTCAGAACCAAAACAGTTGCAGATATGAATTGCTAACTAGACAGATGTCCATTATGTAAATATCTGCAGAATGCATTTCTTAACCAAAGCCTTTGGTCATGTCCCAAAACTCCATCCAGTTTTCTTCAAAGCAAAAGTCGGCTTCTTCTTTCAACTTGTTTATTTTCTCCAGTGGGAATGCTGTGTCATCTTGCCTCCAAACAAGGACGGTCATTTGTATTTAAATATTCCCAGACTTGCAGCACATAGTAGAAGTAGACTATTATATACTCAAAATCCAATTTTTTTGATGACTACATTTAGATTTCTAAGTATGTTGTTGGTTTACTGCCAAAATGTGATGTGAAGGCAGAGGAGGATAAGCAAGCTTTTGTCAATTACCTATACCACACACAATACATTTCAGATTGTGTGAGACAAATCAGTTTTGACAAGCAGTCAAATTAGTGGGAAATTAAATTGTTTTTTCATTTTAGGTTTGTTGACATTCCTGTTCTGTTCATTATTGTTAGAAAACACAGCTCTACTAATTTGTTTTAATTTGTCTGGCTGCCGAGTGAAACGGCAAGCCACAATACGAACACCTTCTGAAAGAGTGGACCTGATGAAAAGAGAAAGAGGTTTTTTTCCCCCAATTCACCTGATAATATCTGAGCAGATGGAGGAAGAGGTGATAAGATTTTTGTTATCTGCAGACACTTTAATCCAAGATTCATTCACTTCCAAGCCTCAATGGTCCTCATTGAGCCGTTCGCAGCAGAATACAAATTATCTTTGATGTGTGGGGGAAAAAAACATATTTCTGATTGAATGATAGATGTCATTGTGTATGCCGCCCTTGACCTGTCACTGGCACATATGAAAACAGGAAGATTAATGTGCTGTGCCCTTGTACATAACACAAGGGCACAATTCATATTCATACCATAACCATGGGTGTACCAATGTTCATATCAACTCTACATATTAACTAGGTGTGCAATATTTAGATAGCATAGGAGTCACTGAATAGTTTCTCTCACACAGTCATACAGCTGTGGTATTTCCTCCTTTGATTTGTGATTGTTGGAGTATTTCTGTTGTGGTTTAAGTTGCTTTTACCTCAGGGCCCAGGAGAAACAACTCAATTGAGAAGTGTTGTCTTTCCACACCCTAATCAATATGAGACAATACAAACACAACATTTATCACTTTATTGAGTTCACACAGCCACAGGCAGCTGGATTTTATTTATTTTAATCACAATCGTTAACAGAGTATTCCTCAGGACATTCTTTATTTTACTGCATGGCATCTTGTGCCATTCAACAGAATGGGTAACTGTTTAAGCTTTAAACAATAGGGGGCAGTATAGGACTAATGCACACGGGACAAAGGTGTTAAGACATCTGGAAAAAAATCTGAGTTACAAGAAAATGTTGAAATATATAGATAACAAAATATTAGTTCATAATTGTAAACTGTATTTAGATGATGATGCAATCACTTATCCATCCATACATTCATCCATCAATCCAGGATTATTACATTTATTTTTTATAATTTAAACACATATGAAAACAAATTTGCGTGAGGCAGGATTTCATTGTATTTATCATCTAACAGCTGCCAAATTAAGCGTTTAAGGAGAGTTGCTGCCCAAATTGTAAACCTACTTGATACAAATGTGTTATTTGGGGCTTTGGGCAATACATACTGCTGACTTAAATGAAGTTGTTCTAATCCCATGCTGATTTAGAGAAGAAAAATCGTGCATTTATTTTGTCTTGTTTAGACTTTCACAGCTCTCTCTCTTTACCTGCCTCAATGAGAGAGAATCTCACACAGGTAGCTTGTTCAATATGCTGCAGCATCAATATTAACTGGCACCAAACACAGAGACCGTGGTACCCCAGTGTGAGCATATCTTCTCTATTATTTAGCATTGATTTACGATTTTAATGATTGGTTTTAAAGCACATAAAAGCCTAGCCCCTAGATTTATTGTTGAACTTTTAACTTTTTATGAGCCTTTTATCCTCAAGCAACCCTTTCGGTAGGACCACAGGCCAGTATTAAGAATAAAGGTGACTGCACTTTCTCTATTGGCGCCTGCATTATGAAACAAACTATGTGAAGACATTGGGTTTGCAAAATCACATTTATCTTTCTAATTTCTTCGAAAAACATACTTTTACTCCCTTGGCACTGAAAAATATTCGACATTGTATCTCTGTTTATTAGTAGATTTAGTTGTAGTGTTGCTGCATTTGGGTTTTGTTATATGTAAAGTGCTTTTTTCGGAAAATAACTAGAAATATTAAAGATATTTTTTTTATACATGATCTTAAATTACCAGCTATAAGACTGACGGTACAGAACCCTCATCAGCCAGAATCAGCTGTTACACCAAATGCAAATTATTAATTATAATGACTTGATTCAAACACCCTCAAAGTAATAGATAAATGGTTGAAACACCAGCTCCTGTTAAAGGTTACGGTATGAATTTAAGGGTGAGCAAACCTACTTTAAAAAGTACATAAAAAATCTAGCTTGAAATCAATCAAATGTCACTCACACGTGGGTGGTAATCTGAGAGTATAAAAGATTAGGATCTGCAGACTTTTAAAAGCAAATCATACACAAACATACTGAAATATTATCCTTTAATAAACTCAATTGAATATGACATTAAATAGGTAGAATGTATTCAGAGGATGCTCATAAGGAGCACCCAAGTGGTCTGCAGGTAAAGCCAAGCTGCACCCAAAATCACAGTCATCACACACTGAACTGTTTTCTGCACATTCATTGTAACTCCTGGTGGATACAAGCTCTCTCTAAACACACACAGCAGAGGACCATGACTCAGGGCTCCATGCAGTGTGGTCATGGAGCAAAAGCTTCTTGTCTCATCAGCCCCACAGGGTGAGAGAGACTCAGTGGCTACATTCTTGTTTACTCTTGACACTTCATAGGGTTTAGAAATGGAAACTTTAATTACACATGTAGCCACACACAGACGTGAACACACTCACACATACAGACACTTCCAACACCAATTACAAGTCTGAACAAGATCACAGAGGCTTCATTTATTATTAAAGTGTCCTTAGCGATGCCTGCAGTCAACTGTGCATTACTTACTAGCTAGCTGGAGCATTCACACTACAGGTAAACGCAGATTTAAAGGACCTTTTTTTAAGTCTATCACTTCACATTACATGCTTAATTACTAATGGTCCCTTCTGCAAGAACAACTCCTATGAAAAAGTGCATTCTTATGTAAAGTGTGAAGATAATGTGTGGCATTGTGGTACATTTTTGTACGTTAAGGTAGACATTGATCCATGGGCCATAATAGGGCCCCTTTAAGAGTCATCTACAATCAAATTTACTAGGTACAGTTGCTAAAATAATTTTAAGGGATGAACACACAGAAGTATTTTCTTTAAGACGAGGGCAAAGGATTAGTTTACAAATTATAAACTTTCGCATTTTTCCTTTGTGCTTGTTTTCAGCCTTTAGTCTTTATTGATAAAAAGTTATGTAACATAACATTGTTTGTCATAACATTGTTTGTTATGTTTGAGCTCATTAACAGTGCATCACCCTATAAACAAATTCATTTACAGGGAACAGATAGCTCCAGGGTAGATTTGTATTGAGTCAGTAAACCACTGAGAATTGGCTACAACAAATATTATGTGCGTAATAATATGGTTTCCAACAAGCTATAAACAGAATGTTAAGATTGGATGTTCTACTTTTGCTTTTATATTTTATCTTAAAAAATGAATGGTTTGGGTTATCTCTAAAGTCCTGCAGTGGTGGACTGTACATAAAAATGACGAGAAAGACATGGTATCATTCTGTAGTTACTGACCTTTAAGATGTAGCAGAGATATAGAGAACAAAGCCCTGTACTTTATCAAAGTCATTCATCCCCTACACACTTAAATCAATATGTGGGACAATAAACCAAGCTTCTTCCAATAAAACTAATAATAGACTTAGGAGGGCCAAGGCGGAGGACAAACTGTAAGAACTTGAGTTTGTCCTTTCATTCTCTCGCTTCCTCACCGGCTCCATTGTTTGCTCTTCTTATCTTGCGTTTTATTTTCATCTTTATCTTTGATCCAGCGTATCTCTGACTCTCCTCTGACTCTCCTCTGACTCTCCTCTATTCATTTTCTCTTTTTCCTTGCATGTATTTGTCCTATTACTTCCTGTCATTTGAGAGTGACAGTACGGTGTATATCTATGGATTGAATGAACATGCAATTTAAATTAATGGCACTGTTTTTCCAGCTTTTCTTCACTCTTCTCATATTATTTTTGCTCCTCATTTCAACTCATATAGACTTAAATGAACAAACAGTCATTTGCCTTTTTTCATTATTTACCTTTTCTCTTCTTAGGCTTATATTTAATGGCTTCCTTTGAAAGTGCTTTCAGAGGAAGCCATTAGCTCCTGAGAGTCAATCTTTACCTATA